CTGTCTCAAGCCCTCCAGTGGGCAATCGGGGGCAGCCTCTGTTGACAACTTAGGCATTCTGTCTGGCGCCCACTCATCAGTGCTGGCTCACCTGGAAGTGGCTGGAACACGCCCTGGTTCTCCACCTCGATCGCCAAGTCGAAATGGGAGCAGTCGCTCAGGGTGACCACCTCGTCGGCCCCACCAGGAATGAGGCCGTTGATCCTCAGCGGCAGCTCCAAGGTCTGGCCCACGCGTGCCTCCACCTGGCACGGCGCGAACTCCATGCTGCTGGGCTCGATCACGTACACCTGTGGGACAGCGGCGTGGACTGAGGTCATCGGGCTCCGCAGGAGAGGAAGGGCCTGTGCTAGTGTTTCCTAAGAGCTGCCACACACTGGGCACTGAGGACACGTCAGTGAGGAGACTGAGCTGGGAGGACAGGTGTGTGCAGTGAATTGGGGGACAGAGCTGTCAGGGAAGGCCGCTCTGATAAGGTGACCCAGGAGCTCAGACCTGAGAGCCATGTCAGACGCAGCCAGACAGAAGTGTAGGGGGAAAACATTCCGGGAAGCAGAGACAGTCGGTGCAAAGGTCCTGAGCCACGTACCAGCTCAGCTTGCTGGAGGAATATAAAGAAGGCCACAATACAGGGTGAGAGAGGCATCATCATCCACAGATGACACTTCTATAAAACAAAACTTGTTACACTCCAGGTTCTGTTCTAAAAACCCTGCTAATTCATTCAGTGCTCTCAGGCTCTTTGTTAAGATTTTATTAGCCACCTCTACTTGAGAAAACCTGGACGGTGGGTCTGGGCCGGGCAGCCTGGCCTCTGGGGCCATTACACAGTCTCTCGAGGAACCGTCCCCAGGCTGCTGAGCAACTGGATGAAAGGTGGCACGTTTACTGAGATTAAAGAAACTCAGGGGGAGGAGGACAGTGGTCACAGTTCATCCATAATTTGATAATCATGCTATAGCTAAAGGGCCTCGGTTACAACCCTTTTTACGTGAGAATGAGATAGATCCTTAGGAGTGTGTGTGTGTGTGTGTGTGTGTGTGTGTGTGTGTGTGTGTGTCTATGTGGATCCAGATATAAAGACCAGGACAACCTGTCCATCCACGTCCCAAATAATATACGAGCAGGTTGAGACTGGACACGCTGTGTAAGGAGCTTTGACTTCTGCCTAAGTGAAGTCATAGAGGTAGGTGGAGGTTGGGGTCAAGGTCAGGAAGTCAGAAGGCCAAGGTGGGTGGCAGTGACTCATACCCACCACGCACGGCCTTCGCCACGTGAGTTGGTCCTGCACCACCTGGGGTTAACAGCCAGGTGCAGGGCTCCAGTACAGAGAAGGAAATGAGTCAGAGCCAGGTCTCACGGAGTCTGGGGCCTCCCTTTGACCATGAATTTGCCAATGCTCAGCGGCACTTCTGACTTGGAGATTTTATTCCTTTCAGGTCTGAGGACTTTTCTAGAATGACCCCTTGGTTACCTCATGTCTTCTGTGTTCCCTGGTCCCCCTTCCAGAAACTCTCACTATGCTGACCCTGCCCCTTCTGGTCTCATCCCCTGCCTGGCGGGGGACGTCGCACCCATCCCCCTGCTGTGACCTGAGCTCCTCAAGGGCGGGGCTGGGGCCTGACCCCCATCCCCCTGCCGGCCACCAAAACCCAGTCCAAGACTGAGGGCCGAAGTGCTTCTGAATAAGCCTGAAGGCTGCATGTGAGGAGGTGGCCTGGAAACCTCTGTCCTGCGCCTCTCCCCACCCCCAACCCCGCCCCCAAGCTGTCCGGGCCCCCGAGGTCTCACCTTCATCTCCCCAAAGTGGAGCGGGTTCTGCACGTCATGTGCCTGGATCACACTGAGTCCAGTGTTACTGCCTGTGGTCATGACGCCCTTGACGGTGACCATGGCCACCATGTGGCTTGACGAAGACCAGCTGAAGTTCCCACTCCCGCCGTGGGCCTGGGGAGGAAAACCAGTGCATCAGCCCGCCTGCCTGCCCGCACTCTCTCTCTCTCTCTCCCTCCGTCCGTCTCTTCCTGCTGCACACTCACGCTCGCTCTCTGACTCTCACGGTCAGCGGCCTCTCACCACCTGCAGCACCAGCCGACCCCCGGCTGGAGGCCGCCTCCCCACCTCGCTCTCTCTACCGGGTCTCATTTCCGGTCCTCATACTGTGGGGGCCTTGTGGCCGACACACACACACGCACACGCCCGTGACACTGGCCCCAGACCTGGCGGCACCCCCAGACCCGAGTGGGAGGACCCTGGGCCACACGGCAAGGTCCAGGAAGCTGCTTCCCCAACCAGGCACAGGCTCCCTCCCGGCACACAGCCCCCCGCCGCTGCTAGCCATCTCCCCTGAAGTACAGGCAGTCCAGTGGCTCCCCACATCGGGGGCCAGCACCCCAAGCCCTGGACGGGGACACACCTGAGTGAACAGGCAGCAGGTGCCGGTGACAGTTGTCACGGCCAGGGAGACAGCAGGGACAGTGCTGGCCACCGGGGCTCGAGCCCCCATGGGAGTCGGTCAGTGCCCGCTGACTGAGGCCAGGTGGGCGCGTGCATATCAAAGACCGAGAACACTTGATAGGTGACAGTTAGAGATGTTCTCGCCTTGAATTTCAAATTCTTCTCCCAGGATATTTACACTGCTTTTGGAAAACAACCTTTTTTTTATCAGTATTATTTTATTTTTTAACAAAAACAAATGCTGAAGTTGAACATGCCCTCGAGGCTTTCTTTATTGTGCTTCCTTGTCTGTTGATCTGGGGTTTTGTTTTTTCTGATTGCCAAAATATGATGCTGTGACGGACACCCCAGAAAGTAGAAAAAGCATAAAAAGTCCCCGATTTTAAATTCTCTCCGACCACTAGAAGGTAACAGTAAAAGACACAGAATAGACAAAAAGCCCTAATCCCGTGGAAACCCCCAAAGGAGCGAACCCAGATGTGGGGTGTCACAGTTACCTTTATTGTGTACTGATAGGCGCCCGTCTTTGGTTGCCATGGAAACGTCAAGATGCTCGGATAGAGGGTGATGGGGACATGAATTTCTACCTCCTGCTGGTTCCACACAGGTACCCGCAACGTGTGGACCCCTCCATCCTACAAGGGGGTGAGGGAGCTGCACGTCACCATGACAATCAGGTCATCAGAAGTTTTTGCACCCGAGCAGACCCCCACCCCTCCCCAGAGATCAGGTCACAAGGAGATTTTGTGATTGTCAGGGAGCAGGAAGGATGATGCCGGATACCCTCCAGCCTCCTCTGTCTCCATGGAGACAGCTTTCCACGGCTCTGTAACAGCCACTCAAGTAAATGCTGCCTGACTTCATCTTCACGGCACCCCAGGTGGGACGATGTGGTTATCCCACTTTACAGGCAGGAAAACTGAGGCATGGGGCACGAAAGCAACTTGCCCAAAACCCCCAGAGCTGAAGTAAGACTGGTAGGAATCGTTGTCTGACCCCCAGGCTGTTCTCTCTGCTGCCTCTAGCTGCCTCCTCCAGGTCCGGGGCAGGTTTGTGCAGGGTAGGAAGAGATCACCCGTCACCCATGCCAATTTCCCAATCAGTAAAAACCTGCTCACACCTAAAACTGACCGGCCTTTTAAATGAAAGGACTTGGAAGGACCCAAGCAGCCAAGCGGCCAAAGGGATGCTCCTGGCTCCTGGCTGCAGCACAGCTAGACACACGGGCCCAGCGTGGTTTCCCCAACAGGGTTTCTGCCCCAATCCCAGAAGGGCAGACTCACCTTCACAGGGGCTGGCAAAGGGCAGGGGAAGAGGGGCACCCAGTATGGGGACCGGGGACAGGGAAAGCCCCAAGCCCCACCACCAGACAGCCCTCGAGAGCCCAGACGGAGGCGACCCTCACAGTACCCATGAGAGCAGCACACCAGGCTGAGCCGGGGGTCCCCGGCCTTCCAGGGCTCATGTCCGGCCTGGGAGGGCACGGGGGGTGAACACGGAGGGAGGTGCCAACTTGCCTGGTCCACCACGGAGGTGAGGGCTGCCTCGATAGCCGTCTGGCCCTTCTTTGTCGCCCTGACGTGATGGTACGAGCCATTCTGGGAAGAAGCGAGCACCTCAAAGAACTCAGGAGGTAACACGGTGTCGATGCGGAGATTCTGGAAGGGGGGCAGGATGGGTGAGAGAGGCGCTTCTGGGACGAGTCCGGAAGTCAGAATGCAGGAAAGGAGCAAGGTCAGGCCATGGGGCCGCCTGAGGCCCAGGGGCCTCAAAACCAGCAGACGAGCTGGGCGAGGCCCCAGAACTGAGCTCTGACCACTCTGGCCTTTGAGCCCTCCCAGGCCACCCTCCCCGCAGGGCCCAGGGACCCAGACCTCCTGCTGCGACCACCCGGTGGTGCTCAAGCCCATGTCAGCTTTCTCAGACCCTGAGGTCCCAGCAAAGAAACCACTAAACACCAAACCACAAAAAAGGTCGTGACTATCCACGAGAGCCTGACCCCCCCTCACCCCCAAAAAAGGGGGATCGTCAGGGTCCTTGTTCAATAACACAAAGAAAGCAATAACCTGCAAAGCTGCCTAAGGGGGAACCTTGCTTCCTTCTTCTCAAACCTCAGAAGCCGCCAGGAAGGTCCCAGATGGTCCAAATGAGGATCCTGGAAACCTCTCCTGAAGGAACAAAACGTGCCGAGACTCCTCTCCCCCCACCTATGTCTGCCGTTCCTTTCTAGAGCCAGAAAGCTAAAGGATGTTGGCCTTGGTCACCTGGGACTTCCAGACAGAGTTATAGGTATTCCTGGCCCTGCAGGAAAAGATGCATCCTCAGCAGAGTGAGGTAAAGTCTCAGGCTAATGACAAGGGAGCAGGAAGGCAGACAACGCTTGCTTCCCATCACCGCCTCCTTGGACTGTGCTGTCTGTGGCTTTCTCTCCCCGCTCCAGCCCTACAGGGAGAGGGCCAGGGGTGCAGACTCCCAGGCTCACAACGTCCTGAGAGGCCCCCGGGATCCCACGGTGCTGTCTCCCATGGACCCGGCAGCACCACCAGGAATCACCGGACTCAGCTTGCCCGCATGGGGGCCCCGCTGCTTTGGGCGCTGCTCTGGGAGACGCGTCCCACACCCCGCCGGGCCCCAAGGCAGGCACTCACGTCGGACAGGTAGACCTTGTTGCCGGACTTGTCGAGCACTTCAATGGTAATTTCATACAGGCGGCCAGTCTCCAGCACCCACCTGTCACCAGGCTGGATGGCGAACCCTACAAAACAGGCAAGCAACAAAGCCTGACCACCCGGACCACAGGGGCGTGCAGCTGAGGAAGAGGATGGTACCAGGCACCATGAGCCCCAGGGCCCCGCAGCCGCTCACAACCTGCTCTCCTCCGAGGAGAAAGAACAGCTGCTGATCATGGTGAGATCTGACGCCCACCACCAACCTGAGCCCTCAGAACCTGAGGTGATCTCTCAGATGCCCAAGACCAACCTGAGCACATCCCTCACTGGCTGCTCAAGGGCTCACTCACACTTGACCGGATGGTCCACGGATGGTCTACACTGAATCCACAGCAGGTCTACACTGTGAATCTGAGTAGGTCTGAATCTGAATCTGAATCCACATCTGAATCCACAGTAGGTCTACACTCTGAACCTGCAGTGAGTCTACACTGAATCCACAGGAGGTCTACACTGTGAATCCACAGGGAGTTTACATCTGAATCCACAGTAGGTCTACACTCTGAACCCCCAGCGAGTCTACACTGAATCCACAGTAGGTCTATACTCTGAACCTGCAGGGAGTCTACATCTGAATCCACAGGAGGTCTACACTGTGACTCCAAGAGTCTACACTGAATCCACAGGGAGTCTACACTGAATCCACAGTAGGTCTACACTGTGAATCTGAGTAGGTCTGAATCTGAATCTGAATCCACATCTGAATCCACAGTAGGTCTACACTCTGAACCCGCAGCGAGTCTACACTGAATCCACAGGTCTATACTCTGAACCCACAGGGAGTCTACACTGGATCCACAGTAGGTCTACACTGTGAATCCACAGGGAGTCTACATCTGAATCCACAGGAGGTCTACACTCTGAACCCGCAGCAAGTCTACACTGAATCCACAGGAGGTCTATACTGTGAACCCACAGGGAGTCTACATCTGAATCCACAGGTCTATACTCTGAACCCACAGCGAGTCTACACTGAATCCACAGTAGGTCTACACTGTGAATCCACAGGGAGTCTACATCTGAATCCACAGGAGGTCTACACTCTGAACCCGCAGCGAGTCTACACTGAATCCACAGTAGGTCTACACTCTGAACCTGCAGTGAGTCTACACTGAATCCACAGTAGGTCTATATCTGAACCCACAGGGAGTCTACATCTGAATCCACAGTAGGTCTACACTCTGAACCCACAGTGAGTCTACACTGAACCCACAGGAGGTCTACACTGTGAATCCGCAGTGAGTCTACACTGAATCCACAGGAGGTCTACACTGTGACTCCACAAGTCTACACTGAATCCACAGGAGGTCTACACTCTGAACCCGCAGTGAGTCTACACTGAATCCACAGGAGGTCTACACTGTGAATCCGCAGTGAGTCTACACTGAATCCATAGGAGGTCTACACTGTGACTCCACAAGTCTACACTGAATCCACAGGAGGTCTACACTGTGAATCCGCAGTGAGTCTACACTGAATCCACAGGAGGTCTACACTGTGAATCCATGAGTCTACACTGAATCCACAGGACGTCTACACTGTGAATCCGCAGTGAGTCTACACTGAATCCACAGGAGGTCTACACTGTGAATCTGCAGTGAGTCTACACTGAATCCACAGGAGGTCTACACTCTGAACCCGCAGTGAATCTATGATCCAAATCCAAAGTGAGTCTACCTCTGAACACACAGGGAGTCTATGCTGTTAATCCGCAGGACTTCTACCCACTGAATCCCCAGTAAGTAATGCTCTGAATCCACAGGGTTTCCCTCTGAGGCCTGGCACTGAGCATTCTACCCGGGTGAGCAGCCCTCCTTCCCAGGCCTCCGGCCGTGTTCCCACACGGGGCCACACCAGCTGCTGGCTGACCCCCAAGACGCCACGCGTTTTCTCACCACACCTGCGCCCGAGCTGTTACTTTGGCCAGGCTGACCTGCCTCGGAAGGAGCCACTCTGAAACACCTGCCTCAAACATCATCTCCCAGAGGACTTTCCTCTGCACTCACATCTACTGGCTCTGGACCCCTGTCCTGTCACCATCCGTTCACACTGGTCTCTCCTGCGCGAGGACCTAAGCTTCCTCCCTCCAGAGCCCCAATGCCCAGCAGAGGCCAGACAGAGGGAAGGTACCAAGAAAACCTTTCTGAATAAATGAAGTCCCTGAGACACACAGGGCTACCCTGCCAGGTGTCACTACACGGTCAGCTGGGGGTCCGCACCAAGCAGCAAGCTCACGTTGAGGCTAACAAGAGGACCTAAGGGGTTGCCGTGTGTCAGTCAAGTGCTGTCTGGCCTGAACCAGTTCAGTACGCTCAACAAGGAGTCAACTCCGAGGAAACACAAAGGAAGCACCGTCACTGTGACCAGGGGTGACACGTGTCGCAGACATCTGCCAAGCCGCGGTCAGTTACGGCAGCCCCTGGGCCCCGGCTCTGCCCCTATAGGTCCTTCATAACTGCAGATTTCTCCCTTCCTCCCCCAGTCAAACACCTCCCCTTCCTCCCCACTGAGACTTTTACCAAGTGCCACACTGCTTTGGGGGCTCCTTTGTAACTGTGCTGCCCACTGGGGCCCCCAACCTCCAAATGGCCACAGCCATGGTCGGGTCTGGACGGAGGCTTGGAATAAAAGCCAGGAAGGGACAAAACCCTACTGACTCGACCGAAATATTTCTGTCTCTGTTGAGCTGGTCACCTACCCTGACCTTGGCCTACCCTCTGCTTCTCTGTGCATCACTGGGGGAAGGACTAGGGAGCAGCCGGACAAGGACTGGCAGAGCTGGCCAGACTGAAGCACTTTCTAGGGAGCCGTTCCCTTTACTTGTATTTTTTAACTCCTATAAATAAACAACATCCAGGGGGACCCACGATGACCCAACTCACCCAGGTATCCAGGTTCAACCACGTAGATGGTGCTGTTGGGTAATCTAGAAGCACCCTGCATGCGGATACCTGAATTCTTAATTAAGGAACAAAACATAGGAAGGAAAACAGACCGGCTGGCAGGATTCAGCTGGCTTGGATGACTTGATTACCATCTAGACATCACAGGCAAAGGAGAGGGGATGAAAGCTTGCTCGCCTGAGGCCAAATAGAACAAGGCCGTTTTCCAGAACCCAAGGGCCCAGCACACTTCCTATATGAGCAAAGGTGGATGTCTGCAAGAGACACTGGAAACCACGGGAGCAGGTCTAGGACAGGGACAACCCATGTGCCAGTGTGGAAACAGCCGCGGCCAGGCCCCTCGGATGAGGCTGCCCACGCCCAAGACGGTTCCGGAGGCGAGGAGCACGGCTCAGCTCCTGCCACCACCTCCCATCCGGGGAGCCTCTCCGGTGAGTCACCCACCGAGGTGAGCAATTCTACAGGGCCGTGTTGCTATTTCGGTTCCTTCTGATTGTCAGACCTTGAGGGAAAACAGGGTTATTTTTAGCCTAGCCAAGCTTTCAGGGAGAAAAAGGGCTTCCCAACAGCAGATATCCCGCGTGGGGCACACATATGCACTTGCAGACTGGCCAGGGAAAAGGGTACTCCTGTGGCTGAGAACCAGGTTGCTCTGTCCCAGCTGCACTGCAGTGACCATCGACGTGTCCTGGTCCAAGACAGCCACGGGCCGGCTCGGGTCTCCCTCGGGGCTCGGGATGCTGTTCTGAAGCTGCAGCTCATACTGCTCGGAAGGCATTGAGAGCTCTGACCACCCGGACGGAGTCAAAAAGGGGAGACAAGAGCAAAGACAGGAAACGTTAGTAGCCAATGTGGCAGTCCCACCCCCAAATCCCTGGAAGCGTCTCCCAGGGCTGCTGCTTAACAGACGGACTTTCCTTGTTTCTTCCTTCCTTTCTTCTTTCCTTCCTTCTTGCCCTCCCTCCTTCCCTCTCTGCCCCCCCTTCCTTCCCTCCCTCCATTCCCTCCCTTCCCTCTCTCTCCCTTTCTTCCTTCCCTCCCTCCTTCTTTCCTTCCTTCCTATTTCTTTCTTTTGCTTAGCTTTCTCAATACTTTTTTTTAATTCCAGTATAGTTAACATACAGTGTTATATCTTATCAACCCTTTTAATTTTAACATTATGCTCAATGCCTGTGGAGAAAGCTGACACTCTCCATGAATTTTCAGAGACAATCAGTTTTTCAGTGACTGCTGTAAACTGCCTTTTTTTTTTTTTTTTTTTTTTTTAATGAAGCACGGCTTCCGACTCCAATTGCAGACTGCTTACAGAATACAGGAGTTAAATGAACTCTATTACTGCACTAAGGGTCCAGCATGGGGCTCACTGGATCTGTGCGTCCTCTGGGAGTTTCCAAAAAGGCACCAATCCGTGGTTTCCCACCGGGTTTTGGGAGCTCAGTCTAGAATTCTCTCTGTTGCCATCCTGCCCATCCATCAATGCTTCCCCTCTCTGTGTCATGTTGTAGAAGAGAACTCGCTCATTCTGGACCAGGATGAAAAACAATTTCCCCAAGGACATAAGGGGTTCCACAAAAGCCACCACCCCTGCATCCATTTTCCACACTACGGTAGTGGCCACGAGCACTTTTGATACAAATGGCTGCCACTGACCACAAAATTGAGATGTGGCAGGACTGCGCCTGGTGTTTGATGTGCACATTACCCCATTTTATCCCACAACAACCCTTGAAACAGCCACTACTGATGCCCACACCCTCAAGATGGTGGTGCTGCAGAAGTCAGGACAAGAAGCCCGCCGGAGGTCCCACAGCAGGCAGCGGCAGAGCTGGGATTCAAACCAAAGAGACCACAAGCACTTTCACATGACTTCTCCCTGGTCCGTCAAATTTCCTACCCAGCAACCCACTCGTGGAGCCTGTAGGTGCTGCCACGTCCCCGCCCTCCGGCAAGAGAGAGAAAAGAGAAAGCAGAGAGCCGCTGACAGCATCCCTGCTTGTTGCTCATCTCTGGGTCCCGGCTCAGGGCCTTGCCACGGGAGGCGTCCAGGACAAGGACCAGGAGGAATTGCAGCTCGAGCATCCTTCAGAATCCCCAAGGATTCCAATGGGAACTCTAAAAGGGAGGCAACTGGTCTATTTCCTGTCTTAGGGTATCTTCTGTGTGTTCCAGTAAGCCCCCAAGAACTTGCTCTCAAGCAGAGACTCTCAAAGCGTGGTCCCTGGACCATCTGCGTCACCTGCCAACTACAAATGACTGGCCCCACCCCAGAGCTTCTGGATCAAACTCTGGGGGCCCAGTGCTCAGAGTTTGAACAGGCTCTCCAGGGGATTCCAGTGCACACTAGAACTGAGAATCCCTTAGCGAACACACAACCCATTTCTTGTGTCTAACTGGGGGAAGCCCAGCCAAGCTGGGCTGTGATGCTTGCGGACCATATGTTCAGAAAATAGCAGCGGCACGTCAAGGATCCATGCCATGATAAAATAATGCCGCTGCTCAATAGAGCAGTATTACTTCATGTTGTTTTATGAAGCACTAGCTCCCTCCCTTATTTAAAGTTCTCCAAACGAATAGGCCATTTTGGGAAGGGAATATACTGATTCTCACAAGATCTTGCATGACGACATATTTACAAAAGCCTAAGACAACGAAAATAAGGGGCTTGTCTGACCCCTTAAACACCTCTTACAAACACAGAACTAGCTGCTTCTAAGAGGCACTGAATACTAAGGGTCACTATCTGTCTGGAAACATAGGAAGGTTGCTCTTGGGACACGAGACCAGCCCATCTACCGTCTGCAGAGGGGAAAGGGCCATCCCCAAAGGCTGCCCCTCTGTAAACCAAGAGGCCCACATGCTTCTAGGAGACAGGCTCTGGGACCCCTCCGGACCCCGTCTAATGCTCCAGACATGCTCCTAATCCACCCACCCCGTGTAGGCTCACGGAGCTCCTGGGGAAGTGGGCCTGAGCCCAGGACCGTGGGGGGCTCACTCCCCTGCCTCCAACTCCAGCACCTGCTCACGTAGCCCGTGTGACTCAGTGCTGGGAAGCACAGCTCAAGGGTGTGCTGGGTTCCAAGTCCTTCGCCACCTGGGACACAGACACCCGTCTATGCGGTTGGTTTTCCTAGCTTCAGTGCATTTTAGCTCAGTCATTTCCACTATTCCACTGCCCTCAGTCAGCATTGTCCTTTCTAGGGTTTCTTCTGTCTGATGGTGTGGTTACTGTGCCAGCCAGGTCTGCAAGCAACACAAACACCAACAGGGTGGAGAACCGAGGGGAGAGGCCTGCGGCCCCCACTGGTCTGCAGGCAACACCGAGGCTCCTGTCATGAGCTCCAAGAGCCCCTCTCCTCCCTCACCGGCCCCCACTTGTAACATGTTTGCAGGGTAATCATTGGATTGACTGCTGGGCTGTGTGCTCCAGGAGGGCAGGGACCTGGGCCGCATACACAGCACCCAGCAGGCTGCGGCACACAGTAGGTGCTCAATAAATGGGCTTGCAAGACAGCGAGCACCAAATAAAGAGAGGCGGGACATAGGGCAACATGGAAGAAAAAATAATTATATTTTTAAGGAAGGAAAACCGCAAAAAAAAAAAAAAAAAAAAAAAAAAAAAAAAAAAAAAAAAAAAAAAAAAAAAAGCCCAGAAAGAATAAACTTGGGGTTACAATTATCTACATGCTAATAAATCCACGTGACTGTCCTCTAACCTATAATTCTCCGAGCCAAAGCAGGATGTCATGCAAGACAGACAGTGGCTGAAATTCATGTCCCCTGTAACACCATCAGTCCTGGCTTTCCTGTCTAGTCAACTTGTTTCGCATGACAGTGATGTGAATTATATCTCAATTAAAAAAAAAAAAAAACAAATCCATCTAAAATGAATGGACAGAGTTTCCGTTTATATGACTTGTTCATGGCAGGCCTTGGCTGGCTCAGTTCTCAAGGCATCTGTCTGGAATCCTCTCCAGAGCTGTGCCAACCACAACCATCAATCACACAGGTGTGTTTATCTTTGGGCGAATTTTCCATCTCATTACCTCACTGATGAAAGGGAGGCAACATGACTATTTCCGGTCCTGGGGTATCTCTTGTGTGTTCCAATTCTTTGATGTCTATAGTAGTCACTAAACCCACAAGCTTCCTGGGTACTTGGGATGTGCCGTTCCCCTGAACTATGGCCCCTGAACTCATTCAGGGTGAGCTCTTCAGACGTCTTAATTAAATCACCCACCCTTGGGGCGCCTGGGTGGCTCAGTCAGTTAAGTGTCCGACTTCAGCTCAGGTCATGATCTCGCGGTTTGTGGGTTCGAGCCCCACATCGGGCTCTGTGCTGACAGCTCGGAGCCTGGAGCCTGCTTCGGATTCTGTGTCTCCCTCTGTCTCTTCCCTCCCCTGCTCACACTCTGTCTCTCTCTCAAAAAATGAGTAAATATTGGAGTGCCTGGGTGGCTCAGTCGGTTAAATGTCCAACTTCGGCTCAGGTCATGATCTCGCGGTCTGTGGGTTTGAGCCCCACGTCGGGCCCTGTGCTGACAGCTCAGAGCCTGGAGCCTGCTTCGGATTCTGTGCCTCCTTCTCTCTCTGCCCTCTCCTGCTCATGCTCTGTCTCTGTCCCTCTCTCTCTCAAAATTAAATAAACGTAAAAAAATTTTTTTTTAAAAATCATCCACCCTTAACCATACTCACTGCCCTCCCTGGTTGGGTCTCAGCCCGCAGCCCCCACCCTGCATCCTATGCAGAAGGGGCTGGTTTCTCAGCTTCTGTGGTCTGAAGGCAGAGAGCCACACAGTGGCTTCTGACCGGATCCACTGTTCTGAGGTGAGGCAGTCTCTTTGAGGACCCCATCTATGCCACAAAAACCCAAATTTCTTGGATACTGAAGCATCTATGCACCCCGCATCACAGAGTGACCCTCCATTCCAGGGGAGGCACCTGCCCAGACACACATCAAAGCCCTCGGATGGACAGGTGACACTCCTGTGCCCAAGATCTTAACATCCTGTGCTCTGACCATGAAACATGGGTAAATGTTTTTAAAAAAGGATAATAACAGTAATAATTCTTAGGAGGACTGGTGCTGCATGAAGAATGCTCATCACATAAAATGCATCCCAGGTCCACGGCCGTCTAGAACTTCCAGAACAAATGCACATCCGTTAAGTAGTTTTGCCCTCACAGCACAGACAGAAAGGACTCAAGGGCTCTGATGGAGAAACTGAGCCCCAAGGGGGGACAGTGGCCTGCCAAGGCTGCCCGGCACTCAGTGGCAGGCCGAGGGCAAGACTCACTCCCATGTGAGGTTCACAGCTTCTGACGTTCTGAAAACAAAGGGACGGACACACACCCAAGAGGACTGAAAGCAGCATCTCGCAAAGATGTTTGCACTCCTGTGCTCATAGCAGCTTTACTAACAGTAGCCAAGGCAAGGAAGCAGTAAGTGCCCATCAGCAGGTGAATGGAGATAAACATTCAACAGACGTGAATACCCACGCAGTGGACTACTCTTCAGCCTTAAAAAAGGAAGGAAATTCGGACACTGGCTACAACAAGGACGAGCCTTGAGGACATCATGGCTAAGTGAAATAAGCTGGTCACAAAGGGACAAATATGGTAGGATTCCACTTCCTTGAGGTCTCTAGAGAAGTCAGATCCACAGAGACAGAAAGGAGGACGGTGGGTGCCAGGGACTGAGGGAGGCGGGAGGGATGGGGAGTTGGTGTTGAATGAAAACAGAGTCTCAACTTGGGAAGATGAAAAAAGTTCCAGAGCCGGACGGTCGTGATGGTTGCACGACAACATGTGTGTACTCCATGCCACTGAACGCTTAAAAAGCATCAAAATGGGAAATTTTATGCCATGTGTATTTTACCACAATAATAAAAAGGGGAGCCTCTGCCGTGATTCCCCCGCAGAGTCAGCGACCCACCTGTAATCTTTCCTTGTCTGATTTTCTGCACCTTATAGCGAATGGAGGTCCCCACCATCAGGTAGACGTCGTACGCTGGGTTCAGAAGGATGTTCTCCAAGATCAGTAGCCTGACCTCCGCAGGGTGCACGTGCTTGGAAGACGGAGGAGAGCAGGGAAGGTGAGGTGAGGTGAGGTTGGGGAACGGAGAGCAGTGTGGGCAAGAGAAAGAGAATCTAGAACTTTTCAGGATGTTCGTGTGTGGACCGAGAAGTTAGGGAGACAGAAACAAGGCAATGCTCCCAGCCCCACACCTTCAAGTCCCCTGAAACCCTAGGGGAACCCGGTGTGAACAGCAGGCCACGTATTACTGCCACACGGACCGAGCAAGTCGCCTCACATTACGCACACTGTAGCTCTGGGTACAATCTTAATTAAACGGAAAGAAAAGTGAGGAGTGAGATCCACGGACACTGTGGCCAACAGGAGCTCGGGGGCTCCCCCCGCAAAAACCCAAAGGCCAGGGAGGTTGGGAGGGAGGCCACTGGCAAACCTGAAAAGGGGCAGAGATGCATGTCCCTGAGGAGTGCTCGGCCCATCCTGCCCACCTCTCACCCCACGCTGCGACCTCCTCACCAGGAAAAGGCACGAGAGACTTGAAACGGGAGAAAAGACCCCATCTCGAGTCCAGCGCACCCCTCCGGTTACCAGTCTGCGGGGGCCTGCACCTTCCACTGCCTTTGATCTGCTGGCAACTCTTCCAGTCGGAGAAAACTCGGCAAAGGAAACAATTCTCATCCACAGAAATGCAAATACATTGTCTCAGGTGGAGATGTGGCTGATTTTCATCCCGTGGATATTTTTTCTATGTTTATTTATTGATTTTGAGAGAGAGACAGAGACAGCGCGTGAGCCAGGGAGGGGCAGAGAGAGAGGGAGACACAGAATCCCAAGCAGGCTCCAGGCTCCGAGCTGTCAGCACAGAGCCCGACGCGAGGCTCGAACCCACAAACTGTGAGATCATAACCTGAGCCGAAGTCGGACGCTTAACCGACT